TCTATAGTAAGGCCTTGCTCCACCTTCAGTGGCTGAAGCCTCCCCGTGGAGCTGTGGTCAAACCGCTGCTCTTTTCTCTTTTTCCTGAAGCTTCCACTTGGGGCGCAGGACTCTGCCCTGCGTGACTTGTCTTCACCATGACTTCAGCTGGTTGTTTGTGGATTTTCTGGGAGGCTCACAGGGACCCTCCCCTGTCCGTGTTGACTAGGAAACGGGAGGGCGATGAAGACAGCTTTCAGTGTTGCTGGCGGAGGCCTGGGAGAGAGGCCAGTTGCCCTTTGAAGAAATGCAGCTGACAGCCCGTGGCTCAGAGTCCAACTTGGCTTAGGACTGGGTGTTCCTCTCAGTCTCCAACATGCGCAAGAAACACTTCAGCAGAGGCGTTTGGTGAACAGAAAGTTGAGTTCTGGTTCAGCACGTGATCCAGGGAGGGTGCAGCCCATCAGGAGCTACACTCTGGCTCAGCCGTGGACCAGTCCCTTGTGAGGAACGATTGTACTACAGCAGGGTTACTCCAGGTGCTTTCTGCCATTCACCTGTCAGTGGGTGAGAAGCCGTGAATATCGCTCCTGCCTTCATCTCATGACCCTCCGAACCCTGTGGGGGAGAGAAGAGAAAGAGCAGGTACCCTGTGCCCGGCTGGCGTGCTCAGTGGTTGAGCATCGACCTAGGATCCAAGAGGTCACGGTTTGATTCCTGGTCGGGGCACATGCCCGGGCTGCGGGCTCGATCCCCAGCAGGGGGCATGCAGGAGGCAGCCAATCAGTGACTCATCATTGATGTTTCTCTCTCTCTCCCTCCCTTCCTTTCTCTGAAATCAATAAAGATATATTTAAAAAAAAAAAAGGAATGTTTAAAAAAGAAAGAGCAGGCACCCTGGGACTTCCTACCAACTTTGTGAAGCAGGTACTTCCAAGCAGAAATAGTTTCCCCGTTCGCAGGTGCAGAAGCTGATGCCCAGAGAGGTTAAGTAATGTGTCAAGGTCCAGAGCCTGTAAGTGGTGGAAGCAGGATTTGAACCCAGGCTCTTCAGTTCCTGAGTTTGTGCTCTCCCTGAATGTAGAGAGGAGTAATTCCTGCCTCTCAACGTTACGCACAAGGTCAAATGAGATGATGCCTATAAAGCTACGTTGCATGTTGCACAGTGCTTTGCAAATGCTGATAATTATTAGTTGTTAATAATTAGGCAGCACTGTGGAAATGAGTATGAATCTCAGGCGTGTGGGGAGAGGAATGGGTCAAGGACCGAGCCTTGGGGACTGCCTGTGCTGAGGAGCAGGAGCTTGTCTTGGGAAGAGTGGCAGAATCTGGAGAAGCGCCCGGCCTCCAGACCTCCAGCCCCTGCATAGGACAAGGGCAGCCAGGTGCTCGCACTGATACTGTACGTGCGGAGGGGACCACAGCTGGTGTCTCCCAGTGGCAAACCAAGAGCTCGGACTCCAAGGCCACTGGGCTCTGACTCTCACTTCCTTTCCTTTGGTGCATAGAGCTCAGCTCAGCTCTTCGTTAGTAGTGAGAGGTTTTGAACCAGGACCTTCCCGGTTGTGGTGCCTTTGTGGGGACTAGAGCAAAGCACTGTGCATTGTCGCAGACCCTGGTTGGCTGCCGGGCCATCCGTCTTTGGATCAGCTTTCACGGGAGTGCCAGGGTAGGATGGAGGGGGGCAGCGAGGGAGGCCTCGGGGTCCTGTGATCTCTCTCTGGCTCTGAGCGAGCCGGTGGCCTGGCTTGTGGCTGGGGGAGGGCTGGAGGTTTGCTCTTTCTCTGTTACTTTAGCGCAAAACAAGGTGGTTATTAGAACCTCCTTCCCGACACCGCCACCCTCCCACGGAGGCTGGTGATGGCGGTGTGTCAGGGGCTTTGAGGCGCTGAGATGAAGAGCCCAGAGAGTGTGACCAAAATGGCATCACGGTGGCCTCCCCTGGGCTTGTTGGAAGTGGTGCTGAGGAATAGTTTCCTCCCTGAAGGGCTGTTTATTCAACAGCTTATGTCCTCCCTGTTGGCCTTTGAGCTGGTTCTTCACAGCCCAGGGTCTGTGGCTCCTGGGTCTCTACCCTTAACCACCAGGCCTGTGACTCTGATGCGTGCGGGCGAGAGCGCTATGAGCGGGACAGGAGGGAGTCCACTCTCAGTCGAGGAGAATAAGAGTTCTAGGTCAGAATGGGAGGTGAGCCGCAAAGTACCCAACTGACACAATTAAATAAGAAAGAGAACCCGCCCTTTATGGTAGTCATTCTGCCCGTGCACACCAAGGCATTTCTGGAATTATTTCTTGGGAATCGCCATACAAGCCAATTTATGAAACAATGGATACCGTCGCAGTGTTCCCTAGTGCTGCCTTGTTTTTTGAACCCAGAATGATATTAATCTCTCACTTGAGTGACAGGCTTGGCTTTGGATGACTTGAGGCTGTTACCAGTCCTTTGCTCCAGCAGACAGTTCAGTCTCTGGGAATGGTCAGGAAGACCGAAGGCGGTGCCAAAGGAGGAGTGACCATGGTACCGTGAGCCGGGGCGGTAATGACACGTTCAGCCTTCCCTCTGGGTGGGACGCCGTTCTGATATATGCATTAAACCTCGATCATGTTCCAGTCGTGTTTTCCAAGTGGAGCTCAGGAGCGATTTGTCTGGTCAGGGCAGGTGGGTGAGTGCGGGAGCAGAACCCGTGTCTGGCAGCGGAACTGGCCAGGAGGGTGGGAGTGTGAGTCACGCTGGAACCTGCTTCCTCGATGGGCCCTGGCTTGCCAGGCCCTGGGTGCGCTGGCTGCCTGCCTGGACACCTTCACGGGCTGGGGCATTCCAGACCCCTCTCCTGTTCTCTAAAAGTACACCCCGAGGGATTTGCTGAGGCTTGTGCCCTCCCCGCTCCAGGCTCCTGGCAGAGGCTGGGTGTGGATTTCCCTGGGTGGGCAAGTCTTTGTCCCACATCCCCCTGCCTTCTGGGAAGACCTCGAGGACTGCGGCCAGCCTGGGATGTGATTTCAGTCACTAGTGTGCTGCTAATACGGCCACTGGAGAGTAGCCAGGTCAAGGAGCACTTCATTCCTTTTTAAAAATAAAGTTTTGCACCCTATTTTTATTTTTAGTGGTTACCTTTATAAGGTTAACAGTCATGTTTGACTTAACAATGACAAAGTTTTGAAGGCTAGTCATTCAACAACTAATAATTCTTGAGTTACCTACTGTGTGCCAGGCACTTGTCCAGGTGCTGGGGAAATAGTCATAACCAAGGTTTCTGCCCCAAGACTAGCTTAGGATATTTTCACTCCAGTCATACTTTTAAGGGCTTCCATTTTGCTTAGTGTTTTAATTTCATCTTTTTTTCAAAGCTCCCATCTATTTATTGTTCCACCTATTCATGCATTTATTGGTTGATTCTTGTATGTTCCCTGACCGGGGATCGAACTTGCAACCTTAGCATATTGGGCTGATGTTCTAACCAACTGAGTTACCCAGACAGGGCTCTCAAAATCTGTTTCCTTAGCCACTGTGTTATCACGTGCGCAGTTAAGAGTAACTAAGGCTTATGTAGGATTTTGTTTTAAGACACCAATTAATAATTTACATATAAGAGTTAACAAAATTTAGAACTCACCAAATAAAGAGAAAACCCGGCCCGGCCAGGCATGGCTCAGCGGTTGAGCGTCAACCTAGGATCCAGGTGATCGGGGTTTGATTCCCGGTCAGGGCACATGCCCAGGTTGTGGGCTTGATCAATGACTCTCTCATCATTGATGTTTCTATCTCTCTCTCCCTCTCCTTTCCTCTCTCTGAAATCAATAAAGATATATTTAAAAAAAGAAAAAAAGAGAAAACCCAAAATGACCTTCCAAAGACACAGACATACGAGGCTTATCTATAAATGTAGTCATGGCACAAAGCTGGAGTAATAACACATTGCATCATGGAATCAAAATTCAGAATATTTTAGCAGCCTGGACACACGGGCCAAAATCACAAAATAAAATTTAGTAGAAATAATATTTTGTATTTAGGCTTAGAAACATTAATTTCATAGGTTCAATTTTGGGGGTGCCTACCTTCACAGAAATTCACGTGTGTGTAAACTTTGTGTTTTAGTTGATCTCACACTTACATAAGCTCATTAAGCCCAACAGGATGGTACACCTGCTGAAAGAGAACCCGCCCTTCAAGGGAGACTAGCAGACTATCCTGATCAGGGGGGAAATGGCCCTTTGTCCTCGACACTTGCCAACCACATCCAGATGGTGTATGCAGTTTTGGGGACCACAAGTTGAGAGCGTCACAGACATCCATGAGCAAGTCCAAAGCAAGGAGTCTGAGTTAGGGAACAGTCTGGAAGGCATCCCAGGAACTGGGAGATTTTATCAGGAGGAGGGAAAGCAAGTAACTTGTGAAGTATTTCGAGGCTGTTAGATGGAGAAGAGATTAGAATTATTTGGCCCTGCTCAAGCGAGCAGGCCCAGGGCCCATGGTCATGACCCAGAGCAGCCAGGCTCCCTCTGAAGGGAAACTTAAATTAGGACTGCTGGTGAGGCAAAGGGCTGCCCCCTAAATCTACCAGCTAGCTCCCTGTGGCCAAAGGTGTTTGAATTGTGGTGTTGGGTCAAGGGGTAAGGTGTTGGATAGTGTTGGATAGAAGTGTCAGGTCAGGGGTAAGGTGTTTGGATAGAAGTGTCAGGTCAGGGGGTAAGGTGTTGGATAGAGGTGCCAGGTCAGGAGTAGAGTGTTGGATAGTGTTGGATAGAAGTGTCAGGTCAGGGGGTAAGGTGGTGGATAGAGGTGTTGGATCAGGGGTAAGGTGTTAGAGATGTTGGGTCAGGGGTTAAAGGTGTTGGATAGAGATGTCCGGTCAGGGGTAAGGTGTTAGAGGTGTTGGGTCAGGGGTTAAGGTGTTGGATAGAGGTGCCGGGTCAGGGGAAGGGGCCGCAGGTGTGCGAGGCAGTTAGGTACCGGTTCTTGTCTGGCTCATGCAAAGCAATCTCTCCTTTCTTTCTTGTGTCTTCTGTTTGTGGGGAAACAGAGCAGGTGGGGAAAGTGAGCTGTGGGATTCTTTGGCTGATTAAAGCAGGCAAAGATTTTGGAGAAACAGTCATCGGCAGCATTTTATGCTAATGTGTCGATGTTGAGTTTTAGCCCAAGATCCTGAGCCAGTTTCCTGAGAGCAGGAACTGCACCTCACAGAAAATGGGGTCTGTGGGCCCAGACCTCCAACTGGTTTTCCACCTCCCGCTGGAGTCCTTGTCTCCATATGAATCATACTTGCTTACAGCCTGCTCAGGGACCTCAGAATAGCCCCCACGGTAATCTTACTGTCAAACATCAGTGTGCACAGGAATCAGCGGGGATGGGGTCATCATGCAGATGCTGGTTCTGTAAGTCAGAGGTGGACCTGAGCTGCTGCTGCCGGTTTGGGGACCACCTGGAGTTGCTCGGGTCTAAAAGCAGCAGCCCACAGTGTGCCCCCCGTAAACCACGTGTGACAGAATCACCTCTCCAGCCTGCTTGTTTCACCTGCAGACTCCTAGGCTGCACCTCTGATCTCGGGCCACAATCTAGCAGGTGACCCTTTGAGCTGACACTCCAGGTGATTCTTTGACACATTCAAGGTTTGAACTGCTGGCCTTGGCGGGATAGATAGGTCATTTAGAACTGAGGAATGCCTCTTTCCAGGGGACACAATGAGTCACATGCAGGGCTGGCTATAGAAAACAGGCCGTGTATGTAGAGCTTGGTAGGGGAGCCCAGCGGAGTCCTGGGTGAGCTGGGGGCCTCAGGCCTCCGCAGCTCTCCTGCAGAGGTCAGATGACCTGAGTCGATGACTCTTGCCCTGTCCTTCCAGTCGCCCAGCATGCTGCGCCCACCGCACGCCCAGGCGCACTGACCATGAGCCTCAACTCCTCCCTGGGCTACTGGAAGGAGCTGAGCAACCTCACTGAGGAGGCGGCTGGTGAAGGGGGCGTCATCGTCACCGAGTTCATCGCCATTGTGATCATCACCATTTTTGTCTGCCTGGGCAACCTGGTCATCGTGGTCACCTTGTACAAGAAGTCCTACCTCCTCACCCTCAGCAACAAGTTCGTCTTCAGCCTGACCCTGTCCAACTTCCTACTGTCCGTGCTGGTGCTGCCCTTCGTGGTGACAAGCTCTGCTCGGCGGGAATGGGTCTTCGGGGTGGTCTGGTGCAACTTCTCTGCCCTCCTGTACCTGCTCATCAGCTCGGCCAGCATGCTCACCCTCGGGGTCATTGCCATCGACCGGTAAGCTTGCCACAGATCAGAGAACTGGAGAATTCAGGAGACGGGCAGAGGGACCCTAGTGGTCACCTGCTCCTGGGATTGCCATGCTGCCTGAGATCCGGGGAGGGTGTCGGGCTCCTCGGGGAGAGGATTGGAAGGCAAAGCTCTGCCTTTGCTCTGTCCCTTCAACCAGACGACCTCAGATTTCATCTCATCTCTCTCACATGTTTTATTTATTACTTATTATATATATTTTGCCACCACACTCTGTTTAGTGCTATTGAGCACAGCCTGGAGCCCTTTCCAACGGTCCATCCTTGCTCCTGCCCCTCCCCAGGCCAAGAGAGAGGCTGCATCCTGGGGAGGGGCTGGCAGTGGGCATCTGAGCCCAATGCCCATGTGTATATAATGTATAATATTTGTATATATTTATAGATAATTCTCTCTGCAGGTTTATTTTTTAAAAGAGGTCCCATGGCTTTAAGAAAATGTTCTTAAAGGCCGCTGATTCTTAGTGTGCAGATGAAAAGCAGAAGCTGTGGAAGGTGACCTGTCAGAGGAGGGACTAGACCTGCTGTCCGCTGTCTGTTGCTTTGGCCTGGGCCAGAGCTGGGCTCAGGGTAGGAACCCAAAGAGGAAACACTGTCCCCTGTCCACAGTACAGGGACCTCAACAATCAGCTTGGTCCACGATGGAAGGGGAGCAGCAGAGGGAAAATGGCCCAGGAAGTGAAGTCGGGCACCTGGGAGAGATGGAGTATGCTTTCAACAGTCTGGGTTGTCCCTTCTTGTGGTCTAGCTGACTCAGTAAGAAGTGGCCCTGCTGATGTCCCTTGGCTGCATCCGACAGGCGCCTTCAGATGCCTGCATCGTGCTGAGTGGGCTCTGCACACCTTGAGGCTTTGATGGCATTCCCACCCCTGACATTCAGCTTGGTGATTTGCAGTTTGCTGATGGTCACCTCGTTCATCCCAGGCTAGGGGGACTTCCTGAGGGCAGGGAGGGTAGACTCAGGCAGTGCAGTCAGGGAAACAGAGGGAATGGCCAGCAGTGTTGTCAGTGGCTGACACAAGTCCCCAGGTTCCCTTGGGACCTTCAGGGCTTTAGTTGATGAGTGGTCACTGGATTGTCTATCCAGGGCACAGGCCACAGTCCTGTCGGCTCTGGGCTCTGCCCTGGGGAGGATGCGGAGTGAGGGAAGCAGCCAGTTGTCCCACACTGGGGTGGATGGACTCCAGCCCTCAACATAGTTCTCTAATCAGAGGAAGAGCTGGAACCGTGGGCCGGTTGGTGACGGTGAGGAAAACCACTGTGCAGCGTAGGTTACCGCGTTCACCCTGGAGTGGCTGCAGGTTTATTCTTATTTGTAGCGGAGCCCTCCTATTAAAATCAGGGTCATGATTAAGGTTGTGGGTCTCATGGCAGGAGAGCTAAGCATTGGAGCCCATATGTGCATGACAGCTTTTCAGTTTCACGTGACATCAGGAAAGCCTCTTTGGGAACCAAGGGTCGTGCTTGGGCTTGTGTCTAAAAGTGAGTTGCTGGAGAACAGACGGAGACCTTCAGAAGCCAGCTGAGGGTACAGGAAGCAAGGGAACCCCTTGGTTTCGCCTGTGTCCACCTGGGGGAAGAGGGAGTTGCTCTTTTCTCTCTTTTCCTTTGAACCTGCAACTAGGCCTAAATGAAGCTTAAATTTAAAACATGAAGTTTCAAATCTACAAAATCCATTTTTTGTGGCAGATGTGCAAATGTTGATAGAGGTGCAGATTTGTGCGTTTCAACGTATATAATTTTACTCCCCAAGTCCCCCTAAAACAAATGTAACGCCTGGCATGTGCGGATGTGCATGGGCAGTGCTCTGGCCCATCTGTGGGGGCTCCCTCTGGCCGGGCATGCCCACGGGACTGGGCCGCAGCTGGGAGAAATCACTGCCACATCCCCTGGACTTGCTCCTGCCCAGAACCCTAGTCAGCGAGTGCTATAAACACCAGTTGTCACAATAAAGCAGAAGCCTAGCCATAAAATAATAACACTAATGGGGTCTTGAGAAGGCTGTGTGCAGAGGACAGCTTATTAATCGCAATTGCTTTTACGATTGTCAGACGAGGCTGGTCTGAGGAGCCAAGGGACAGCTGACAGTCCCCATGCTGGGCCTCCCACGCTGAGCTGTCCTGCCACCCTGAGGTTCTGAGGCCATGGGGCCTGCACATATTTTAAAGGGGCAGAGAAAAGTAGAGACTAGCCTTGGCTCATTTTGAAAGTGAAGGAAACTTTCCCAGAAGTGCCCGCAGCAAACGCCCCGCACATTTCATTTGCCAGGATGATGTCATGTGGGTCAGTATCTCAGCCAGTCCCCTGGCCAGGCGACCACCAGAACAGCCTGACTCGTTCTCCAGGACTCAGACGGGCCTGGTGTGCCGTGGTCATGGCACTTGTACAGGAGCACGAACTAGAGGGGGTTTTGTCCTTGAGAAGGAAGGGGAGCAGTTGGTGGCCAGAGACCAGGCTGTGCACCTCACTGCCATTGGAAGGGTGGTGCATGCAGGCCCGCCCCTCGCTGGCACACTCTGTCCTTGGTGCAGATCTGTGGCAGAGGTTTTGTGGTTCCATTTCACAGATGGAGAAACAGAAGCTCAGAGAGGTTGAAGCAGCTACCCCGGGCCACACAGCCAGCAGACGGCAGAGCCACCGTCTGAGCCCAGATGCCCCAGCTCCGGAGGCTCGCTTCTCTCTCTCTGCTGCTCAGCCTTAGCAAGATGCAAACGAGATCTCAGCGTAACACACGAATGGCTGTACCCCAGGTTGTGTGCAGCGATTCTGTGACCCACCGCAGTCCTGGGCACAGGAAACGCTTTTTCCTGGCCAGATCTGAGATGGGTAGCCTCAGGCTGACCTCTGAGCTGTGTCCCAGGGGTGATTCAGGAAGGTCCTGGTGGAGGCAGTAGCTCACAGGTGATATGTGGGGCTTGTAGCCACAGTCATTGCTAGCACCAGGCAGCGTCAGTGTGGCCACCCGTCTGCTGCACTCGTGCCCTCACGGGAAGCCCTCTTCTAACCCGCATTTCTCTCGGATCGACTGTCCGCGTGGGGAGGGTGCTCACCTAGGAAAGCAGTGGGTGCCCATCCTGGTGTTTTCTCTGTTGTGATTCCTCTCTCCCTCCCCATCCTTTTGCAGCTACTATGCTGTGCTGTACCCCATGGTGTACCCCATGAAGATCACGGGGAACCGAGCTGTGATGGCTCTTGTCTACATCTGGCTTCACTCCCTGGTCGGCTGCCTGCCTCCTCTCTTTGGTTGGTCGTCGGTGGAGTTTGACGAGTTCAAGTGGATGTGCGTGGCCGCGTGGCACCGGGAGCCTGGCTACACGGCCTTCTGGCAGATCTGGTGCGCCCTGCTCCCCTTTCTGGTCATGCTTGTGTGCTATGGCTTCATCTTCCGCGTGGCCAGGGTCAAGGCGCGCAAGGTGCACTGTGGCACCGTGGTCACGGGGGAGGACGATGCCCAGAGGCCCGGGAGGAAGAACTCCAGCACCTCCACCTCCTCCTCGGGCAGCCGGAGGAATGCCTTCCAGGGCGTCGTCTACTCGGCCAACCAGTGCAAAGCCCTCACCACCATCCTGGTGGTCATCGGTGCCTTCATGGTCACCTGGGGCCCCTACATGGTGGTCATCACCTCCGAGGCCCTCTGGGGGAAGGACTACGTCTCCCCGCGCCTGGAGACCTGGGCCACGTGGCTCAGCTTTACCAGCGCCGTCTGCCACCCCCTCATCTATGGACTGTGGAACAAGACGGTGCGCAGGGAGCTGCTGGGCATGTGCTTCGGGGACCGCTACTACCGGGAGCCGTTCGTCCAGCGGCAGAGGACATCCCGGCTCTTCAGCATTTCCAACAGGATCACAGGTAACGTGGGGACTTGGCCGGAAAGGGGTGCTCGCCCCCAGCCAGGGGTAGCCCGTGGTCCTCTCCGCCGCGCTGGCTTGGGGATGGCGGAGGTCTCACATTGATTGTGGCCTCCAGGCTCAAAGTACAGGTTTGCTTTGGGGAAGGAACATCCCAGAGGGTGCACTGGGATTCCCCGCCGCTTTCCTGAGCTGAGAAGCCCAAGGCAGGGGACAACAGAGTTCAGAAACCTGTTTTCTGTGACCCCAGCCGTGGCCCATTGGCCTCGAGAGTACTGTTCCTCCTGTCCAGACAGAAAAGAACCCAGGCATCGGACCCGCTGCCTCCTCTTGGCCCATCTGTTCCTTAAAGTAGAGGCCTCCCTTGCTCACCGCTCATCCCCGAACATACTCGTCCTTGGGCCTTTTGTCCCAGGTTCCTGGTGCCCTTGATTGTCCCCCATAATTCAGGACATGTCAGTGCCACACCTCAGCCTTCCCCTCCTACTTAAATGTCACTGTCATGTCCATGTGAGGCTCTCCTCCCTCAGATAATAAACTGACTCAGAACAAACAAGCTTTTGGACACCGTCCCGTCACCTTTGGTGAGACCCACAGGAATGACTCTACTCAGGAACAGACCTTTTTAAACCTTTTTATTCTGAAATAATTTTAGCTTTGGAAGAGTTGGAAAAACAGAGACTCTGGTCCACCCAGCTTCCCCAGACTAAACACCCTGCATGACCCCAGCCGCTACCCAGCCTGCCGCGTGAGGTCGGGCAGTGCTGTGGACTACAGACCCGATTTCCCACTCATGTCCCTTTCCTGTTCCCACGTTGCCCCCAGTCATCACGTCTCCCTTTGTCATCCTCAGGTCTTTGTTCTTGCCTTGTCTTCCGTGACATGGACACTTTTGTACAGCGCTGCTCAGGGGTTCTGTAGAAAACCCTCAGGTTTTGTCTTCAAGATTAGAATGGTTATAGGCTTTTGGCAGGAACACTGAGGGTGCCCTTCTTAGTGATCATGTCAAGGGCACGCCTGTCACCGTGCCTTACTGCTAGTTGCAGTACCCTTCGATTCTTGGTTAATGTCTTTGTCAGCTCGAGCCCCTGTGACAGAATGCCATAGGCTGGGTGGCTTAAACAATAGACATTTGTTTTGCCACATTTCAGGAGGCTAGAAGTCAGAGACCAGGGTGCCAGATGTCAGGGTTCCGTGCGTGTTCTCTCCCAGCTTTCTCTTGCCATGTCCTCACATGGGAGACAAAAAGCTCCGTGGTGTCTTCTTATGAGAATCCCACCCTCATGACTTCATCTGATTACTTCCCGAAGGCCCCATCTCCAAATACCATCACATTGAGGGGTTAGGGCTTCAGTGTGTGAATTGGGGTGGGGGGACACCAACATTAGATTCATACAGTTAAGGTGGTATCGGCCGGGTTCCTCCACTGTAAAGTCACTATTTTTCCTGTTATAATTGATAAATACACAGAGGAGATACTTGAGCTATTATGTGAGCATCCCGTAGCTCCTTACCCGCCACCTGTTTTTGGCGTGCGTGGGTGGGTCTTGCCTCTAGCGATGTTACTATGTTGTCCTAACGGAGAAGCAGCTGGGTGTTTAGGGTCATGTCTGAGGGGGCCCATCACCTGGATGAGCTATTGGAAGAGAGGTTTGAGGGCACTTACCAAATACTTATGGAAAGAGCTCGTACAGTCTGCAGTTCTCATCTCTCGCTGGATGACTTTGGGCAACTCAAACCACTCACATTGACTTTCTCTTCACGACACAGAGAGGTTTTCCATCTTCCCTCTGACGAGGGTGGAGAGAAAGAACAGCTCCTAGTTATCACAAATGCTCAGTGGTAGTGGTACCAGGAGATCCTTTCCCTGAGGCAGTTACACAACCCAACATCACTGGCGTATTTCATGGATTGATGGAGTGTTACTTCTTGAGAGAGGAAGATATTCTGGGACTTTTTATTTTGACCAAAGGAGAAAATAGGTCTCCCTGTATATTAACAGCTGGAATGCCCACCCCTGACACTTGAGAGACCGTGTTTTCACGTGTGACTTGTGAGCCAGGAGTACTTTCGGGGTTTGGTTTCATTTATTCAGATTTTGTAAAATCATTTATCTTCTAGGCAAAAAAAAAAAAAAAAATGTTTTCTGTTCCAATGAAGTTAAGAATGAAGAAGGGAAAAAACCAGGGCAGAGAATGGAGAAGGAGAGGGTAGACAGACAAAAAGAAATGTCTGCTTTTCAGGCCAAGATTCTCCTTGTAAGTCACTGGTGATTATCCTTGGAAGGGTCCGGGAGGCTGAGAACGGGCAGAAAGCACCAGCTGTGGTTGGGTTGGCACATTCAAGGCAGCTGGCGGTCTCCTGCCCATTGAGGGAAAAGCAGTCTTGTGGGATGACTGGGTTGAAGAGTGTTGGATAACAGTTGTTGGCCTTCTCCAGGAATGGGAGCTGGGGGGTCCCAATTGTCTCTTCCCTGGAGGTTCCCAGGGGAGGCCAGCAGCACCAGCAAGAGCTGTTGAGACAGAGCGGAACGCAGTGCCCAGCAGCTCCGCTCCCTGCCCCGTCCATACTGGGAATGACTTTCTGATGGGGAGAAAGCCCTGGCCTCCACCTCACCTCTCCGGTCCCTCTGGCTGAGCCAGGGCTGAGCAGATCCTGGTCTAGTGCCCTCTGTGGGCACAACTTGGATCTGCAGGAGACTCCTCAACCCCTGTCCCAAGCCTGCTCCGGGCCACTGCTCACCCTAGAGAGTGCACACCCACTAGTTGTCACCAAGGGCCAAGAAGGACGATAATATCCATTCCACAGCCAGCCTGGAAGGACTCGGAGGCCCTGTCTTGCTCTTGTGCCTCTCGGTTTGCATGGGCACCTGTAAAGCTATAACCTAAGGAATGACGACATGGAATTATAATCTCTCCTGACAGGGCTTGTGAGCAAAGGCAGAGTGAAATTCCAGAAATAGCTGGAGTTCCCAGCCGACTCTGGGAAGCCAGGAGTTTTATAAACATGTCTGTCTGTTTCGTATGTAGATTTCAGCCACAATCCATGCATTTTGGTTTTCTCATTCTGTTAGCCCCAAAGAGTGTCAAAGGTTAGGTTCTCCCTGGGGTGCCAGCTGCCACTGAGCCAACAAAGTATTGTCTGCTTGTTAGGTGTTCATTAGCAGACTCCCATGGGCTTCCCTAGGAATTTGGAGGGTGGCCTGGACATCTGGGGAGGGCAGCGTCTCCTAATGCCACTCTCCTGGTGCATGAAGCTCCTAGAACTGGGGACAGAGCCTTCTCGGTTTCTTCTGGCGACAAGGACACTGGCTCACATTTAATTCACGTTTAACCCTGGGCCCTCTTTGAAAGGTCTGGGCTGCAGGGAGGGAGGAGCCTTTGAGTTTTCCCACCTTGCTTTTCTAAGATCCTTTCCTGGTGCCACCAAGAGGTCTTCTGGTTACTTCAAAATGCCTGTTTCCCCTGCGCATGGCTCTCCTTTCAGCCTCTAACAGGCACTGGTGAGTCTTCTAGCTGCCCCCCAGGCTTCTGATCTTATCCCTGGGGCCTGTCGCTTTATGCCTTTTTAAAAATAAATTGTGTAAAAGGGTTGAATTGGGCCCAGCTCAGTAGGTCTGTTATTTCACGTGGAGAGTTTCAGGGTGGCTGCACCCGCTCCAGTGGTAACTGCTGGGCGAACAGAGTAGAGAGGCCGCCTGGCTGCACTGCCTCCAGAGCCAGCCGAGCCGCACTGGCCTGGCTCCAGGGATTCCTCCCACTGGTGGAGGCCGGGATTTGTTCCTGGCTTTCGCCGCAGCCTCAGAGACGGTGTCCAAAACCCACTGCGGCTCAGCCTTCCCAGTTGGCAGTGAACAATCCCCCACCGGCCCCCCTCCCCAAGCCAGGCTTCCTGCTGGGACACAGTCATGTTCTGGGGCCAAGACCCTGGAGGGGATGGTCTTGTGGGGTCTCCTAGTGCGACTCCAGGATGTCATGAAGGTCTGGAGGAGCCTGCGCTCTGCACTCTCCACCAATGCCGTGTCCTCCTTGGCTCCGTAGAACAGAGGAGAGTGTGTGTCACCTGTCGCTTCAGAAAAGCCAGGTTAAAAGTAGAGACTGGAGCCCATCCGGGTGTGGCTCAGTGGTTGAGCATCGACCTAAGGTCCAGGCGATCAGGGTTCAATTCCCGGTCAGGGCACATGCCCGGGTTGCGGGCTGCGGCCGATCAATGGTTCTCTCATCATTGATGTTTCTCTCTCTCCCTCTCCCTTCCTCTCTCTGAAATCAATAAAGATATATTTAAAAAAAAAAAAAAAAGTAGAGACTGGAGTTGCCTCCCACCTGTGAGTGTCCTGTGGGGGGAGCCGGTGGCCCCTTCCAGTAGGCCCTCATGTCCACCAGGCCGCAGATCTTCCATGTCAGATCAGACTTGGACTTTCGATCCTGGATTTTCATTTCTAAAGCTTTTTGTTACTCCCTGGTCTCCGTAGCCTCTTCTGCAAGGGTTCATTGTTTTCTCAACTTTCGGAGAGCTCGCAAGTAGAACTTCTTTGTTTTCTTAAGCTCCTTGCATTGTCTCCTGAGATCCATTTTTCTTTCTTTTTTATTCCCCATCCCTGTCTTCAAGCTGGCCCCTCCTCACGTGTCTGGGCTGGGCTGTCCCTTCATCGTTCATAATGAGGCCCAGGCCCAGTGTCGCCTTAGATCCAGGTTGGCCGCTGCAGGGGCCTCCAGTGCTCAGGGTTGTCTGGTGTCTCTAAGGCCAGGCCCATTCACATCCCTCCACTCCCTGCTGATGCTGGGGACCCACCACTTCCTATTGAGACTATCGAGCCCCACCTGCCTGCAGAGACGCCCCACCCTCCACTTCCTGAGCTTTGGGGGCCCAGGGTGAGAACCAGCCTCTTCCTAGGCCCCAGCACCAACCCCAGCTCTCTCCTGGGTCACGTCCATTGCCTCACCCATTCACCTCCCAGCTGACAAACATTTTCTCCTGCTCTGGGGTGTAAACCTCTTTAAAAAGTCCTTTTCAGTATTCAGGTAGGATTTCAGGAGTAATGTGCACCCACGTTCCATGTTTAACCGGAAAATTACCCGGGACCGCTCACCTCCCATTTTCTCTCCCACCTGCCTAGTTGGTTTGACGTCACAGGAGTTCCCCTCTGGGGGACCCAGTCAACCATGTCACAATGCAGACTGCCCTGGCTGGGAACAGGGCACAGTGGGGAAGGGGCAGTAGCCAAGGACTTTCTGTCTGTCAATGGGTTGAGAGTGCATTTTGCAGGGAGAGCAGAGGGGAAGAGAGTGGGAGGTGAGGGGTGGGAGACTGTAATGGGAGGTCAGGCTGGGAGCAGGACCTGGTTCGTGTGGTCAGTGCTGACTTTGCCTTTCAGACCTGGGCCTGTCCCCACACCTCACAGCACTAATGGCAGGTGGACAGCCCCTGGGGAACAGCAGCAGCACGGGGGACACTGGCTTCAGCTGCTCTCAGGACTCAGGTAAGCCTAGGACAAGTGTGCCTCCCCCTTCAGGTGTATCTGACACAGTGTAGGCGCTGGTGAGGGGCATTCCTATGCTGGGTGGAAGGGGCGTGGGGGCCAGAGTCCGGAGTCAGGGTTCCCAATCTGGGTTTTAGCTTGTCAGAGCTTCGTTCCTCGGTTCCTCCTCCATAAAATAAGGATCTCGCCATCAGCCTGTGCAGTTGTGGAGTCAGGTGGCCTGGTGCTCAGTCTTCCTAAACCTTTGAGTTTCCTCTTTTGTGAATGAGGGACAGCAGTCACTATGTCAAGGGCAGCCCCAACGAGGTCAGATACCCTTCCTGGTCCCCACTGTTAACATGCCTGCACCCCTATCCCCTGCAAGAGACACCACAGATCCTCCAAGTCATTCCAGAGGACCAGCACCTGAGGGCTCCGTGAGGTCGGGGTCTCTCCTGGCTGCTCCTGGGGAGCTGAATACTTCATCTGTGCCCGCTGAGCATGTTCTTGGGCTCACAAGGCCCTGGGGTGGGGGGCAAAAAAGGGCAGAGGCTGGCAGTGTCTCTCAGCCAGTCATCCATGGCTCCACATAGCTGGAGACCCACCGCATGTCACCAGCCTTGGGCTCTGGTGTGAAGGGAGCCAGTTGGAATCCTGGATCTTGAAGCAGCAGCCGGGTGGTGGGTATTTTGCCGTGTGCTCCTGTTGTCACTGCTGGCAGCTTTAGATTCTCTTTGCCTTGACCTATGTTTCCTCTCCTGACCCTGTGTTGTGGGACCCTGGGTGCAGGACATGGGCAGCCACCGAGACAGGCCTTCTGTCACAGAATTTTCCCTGAGCATGTTCCCTCACCTGACAAACCCAGAGGGTTGAACCACTGGTCACATCATCCCCTGCAGCCCCGAGTCCTTTGTGTGACTTGAAGGAAGGGAAGGTCTCTGCCACTCCTCAGGTTATTCCCCTTCTCAGACAACCAGCAGGGGCCCAGAGATGCTGTGACATTCATTCATTCAACAAGTATTTGCCAAGCCCCTACTTTGGCTGACACTACTAGGTTCCAGAGAGACAGTGTGAACTGCCCTCCTGGAGCTTCTGGTCTGGCAGGGAAACAGGTGGCCTGTGCACTCTTAGTGGGTGAGCTGTGTGGCATGGGACCTATACCTCAGTAATTCTGCTGTTAAAAGATTGTGAGAGACTCTGGTCAAGGTGGCAGAGTAGGTAAATACTTTCCTACCTCCTCCCACACCACATGAAAATTACAACTAAAGCAAGAACAACCATCATTAAGAGCCATCTGAAGACTAGCCGAACAGAACTCCTGCAACTAAGGATATAAAGAAGAAGCCACAGTGAGACTGGTAGGAAGGGCAGAGATATGGAGTGGGTAGATCCCACACCTACATGTAGCAGTTAAGAATCAGGAGGGATATGTTGACTGTACAGATGCCCACTGAGGAGTGAGGGGCTCTCAGCCCTATGCTTGGCTCCTAGCTTAGAGCACCAGGACCAGGAAAGAGGAGTCCTTTATAATATCAGGCTGTGAAAATTACCAGGGGCTCAGTTTGGGTGAAATGGAAGGCTGCTGTAGACCCAGGCATCCTTTTTAAGGATGCCCTAAACACTTGCCCTAAGCTCCAGCGAAGGGAAGCAGCTCAGAAAACACCAGGGACACACCCAGAGAAACAAAATTGTCTGGTTTCTGGGTGAGGGCTGGAAGGGGCAACTCTCTATGGGACAAAAGTGCCAGCAAGTGCCATTCATTGTTCCCTTGTTGAGCCCTCATCCCACTCAGCCCACAGGCACGGGCACAGAGTCTGAGTCTCCATCAACCTGGCTCATACCCCTCACCACACTCAGGTGATTCCCTGAGACCCCATCCCACCCATTTTTTACACCAGGTGAACCTCTGAAAGTGGCTATTCCTCATGAGCAGTCAGCCTCTGCCTATGCTGCAGACTTCCCTAAAATCTCTTAAAGGTCCACAAATCCTTAAAAAGAAGCATCTGGCCTCTGCATACCCTATACCTCTTGTTAAGTAGCCCCAAGCCCAGCAAGACTGGCAGCCAGCCTCAGTTTGCAGCATAGCCTCTTCCAGGCACCCCAATTCCAGCACTGGCAGCTACCAGCTGCAGATCACTTTGTAGCTCCTACCAGGTGGCCCTGGGCCAGGCACAGTCAGGGCTGAACTTGGCCTGTGTTTCCAAGAGACCCCAGAACCAACACACCCAGCAGTCAGTTTCAGACCACACCAGAGCACCACCCAACCACTTCCACAGATGACACACCAAAAGGGTGGACTCAGCTGGGACCAGAGTCCCTCTAAAGTAAATCTCATTCCTTGGGGTCAGCCCTTGCACAATAGCTTATCCTCTGTAGTCATGGCCAATCGGCTTGAGGGCCAGGCTCACCCGCTGACATGCCAACAGCAATCAAGGCTCAACTACAACAGAAGGGTGTATACAGCCTACTCAAGGGACACTCCCTGGAGCACCTGGCTCTGGTGACCAATGAGGCTGCACCACTGGGCCTCTCAGGATACCCTGTGAAGACTGGGAGACATAGTACCCTCGCCTAATATATAGAAACACAGGGAGGCAGCCAAAATAGGAAGACAAAGAAACATGTCCCAAAGAACAGGGCAAAACTCCAGAAAAAGAGTTAAATGAAATGGAGGCAAACAATCTACCAGGTGCAGAGTTCAAAACACTGGTTAAAAGGATGCTCAATAACTCGAAGATTAGATGAACTCAGTGAGAACTTAAACAAAGATATAGAAAACCATAAAAAAGGACCAGTCATAAATGAAGAATATAATAGCTGTAATGAAGAATGCATTAGTGGGAATCAACACCACATTAGATGAAGTAAAGGACTGAATCTGATTTGGAAGACAAGGTGGCGGAAAACACCTCAGAACAGCAAAAAGAAATAACTTTTTAATATGAGGGAAGTTTAAGGGACCTCTGGGACAACATCAGATATAACAACATTTGCATCATAGGGGTTCTAGAAGAAAAGAGAGATCAATGGATTGAAAACCTATTTGATGAAATAGTGACTGAAAACTTTCTTAACCTAGTGAAGGAAATTGACATACAAGTCCAGGAAGTGCCAAGAGTCCCAAACAAGATGAACCCAAAGAGGCCTACACCAAGATACATCATAATTAAAATGGCAAGTTTAAAAACAAAGAAAATCTTAAAAGCAGCAAGAGAAAAGCAGTTAGTTACCAACCAGGGAGCTCCCCTAAGACTGTCCACTGATTTCTCAACATAAACACTACAGGCTAGAGGGAGTGGCATGAAAAATACTCAGTGATGAAAAACAAGGACCTACAACCAAGATTATTCTACCCAGCAAAGCTATCATTTAGAATCGATGGACAGATAAAGAGCTTCCCAGACAAGAAAAAGCTAAAAGAGTTCATCACCATCAAACCAGGGTTACAAGAAATGTTAAAAGGACTTCTTTAAGCAAAAGAAGAAACAAAGATCCAAAATATGAATAATAAAGTGACAATAATTACATTACCTATCAATAATTACTTTAAATGTAAATGGATTACACCATCTACAAGAACAAAGTCAAAGTGGATTAAAGGCTTAAATGTAAGGCCTGAAACCATAAAACCAGAAGAAAAAATAGGCAGTAAACACTTTGACATTGCTCATAGTAATATCTTTCTGGATATGTCTCCTCTGGCAAGGGAAACAAGATAAATAAACAAATGAGACTACATAAAACTAAAAGGGTTGCACAACCTACCAAATGTGAGAAAATATTTGCCAATGATACACCTAATAAGAAGTTAATATGCAAAATATATAAGGAACTCATATAACTTACCAGAAACAAACAACAAAAAAGATCCGATTTAAAAATGGGCAAAGGACCTGAATAGACAGACACTTCTTCAAAGAAGACATACAGATGGCCAGCAGACATATGGAAAGATGCTCAACATCACTAATCATCAGAGAGATGCAAATTAAAACCCTAATGAGGTATCACCTCATCCCTTTCAGAATGGGTATCATCAGTAAGTCAACAAACAAGTGTTGGGGAAAAGGGAACCATCATGCACTGTTGCTGGGGTTATAAATTGTTGCAGCCACTATGGAAAACAGTATGGAGGTTTCTCAAAAATTAAAAGTAGAACTACCAAATGAACCAGCAATTCCACTTCTAAATATATATATATATAAACAAAAACATTAACTTGAAATGGTATATGCACCCCCATTTTCATTGCAGCATTATTTATAGTTGTCAAGATATGAGAAGCAACCTAAGTGTTCATCGATAGATGATTGGATAAAGAAGCTGTGGTACATATATATACAATGGATTATTACTCAGCCGTAAAAAGGAATGAAATCTTACCATTTGTGAAATCTTACCATGGATGGTCCTAGATGGTATTATGCTAAGTGAAATAAGTCAGACATGGAAAAATACCATCTGATTTCACCTATATGTGGAGTCTAAAAAAACCAACCAAACCCAACAAAAACAAACTCATAGAGACAGAGGACAAACTGATGGTTTCTAGATGGGAGGGGAGTTGGGCCGGGTGAAAAGGTGAAGTGAGTAAGAAGTATGAACTGGCCGTTAGGGCAGTAGGCGCGGGCTGTGGAGTGCAGCGCAGAGGACGCAGTAACGTTGTGATAACTGTGTGGTGACAGGTGGGTGCAAGACTTATTGTAAGTTATATAAATGTGTACCCACTAATACAACATTGAATGTAAACTGTAATTGAAAAATAAAACAAATTTTTTAATGTTTACCTAACGCAACATATTTTAACCACAATGATAGAAATTGAACTGTATGAGGAATCACTCAGAACACAACGCCTTTTTCTGGGGCCCTCTCCGCCCAGCCCTTCTCCGCTCCCCCAATCCAGGCCTGGCCCGCTTAGCACTGAGTGCGCTCGCTGGGGCTCAGGACCCACCGCCCTGCAGAAGGCTGCTGTAACGAACGTTTCTGATGGCCGCTGCCAACTCCCTGAGATAGGATGACAGTATCCATTCCCCGGGCAACGTGGCAGAGATTGTGGGTTGGAATAAATGGGAGAGAGGGATGCACGGGGGTTGAGGGAGGGCAGGCGAGATGGAGGCGGTGAGGAGGACTTGGGACCGCCGGTTCCATGTGCACGACCCGCCCTTGGTTTTAGGGACGGACGTGATGCTGCTCGAAGATTACACGTCTGAGGACCAGCCTTCCTCCCACTGCACTTGCCCACCCAAGAGGAGGAGCTCGGTGACGTTCGAGGATGAAGTGGAACAGATCAAAGGTTGGTTTCTGTGACAGCTTCCCGACAACACAGGGGAAAGGGAAGGGTCAGGACAGTCCCTGGCTCATCTCCGACCCCTGTCCAGCACACCAGGGCCCACCTTTGCCCACCCCATGCTCCTCCCAACCCTGCAGTCGCCCTGAGTCTGTGGGCTTCCCAGCGGTTGGGTCCAGCAGCTTCGGACCTGGGCCCTCTGGGCCATTGAGCTCCATGCAGAGGCGCCCTCAGCCCGGCTCCCTCCTCCCCGGGGTGAGCGGCAGGGGGGGAGAGCCCACGCGTCCCTCCACTCTTCCCCCCTGGAGAGCGGGGTGCAAGTTGCCTACTCCAGAAAATGTGAGGAGGGGGGGTACATTGTCCCTGCAAAATGTCAGGAGGAAAGCAGGCGGCGAGGGTCACAGGAAGAAGGCTCTGGAGGGAAACTGAAGACCCCCGCCCTCCCTCTCGTGTGAGTTGTCAGGTCCTTGTCCTGGGTGGGCGCCTGAACCCTTAGCCACCCCCCGGGCCCCGAGGTTGTCCCGGACTTCGGACTTCGGGGAATCTGAGCCGGTACGGAGAGGGGAGGAGAGGAGAGAGCACTCGCACTTGCGGAAGTTTAGAAGCAGAGAGAGTGACCAGAGGGCCCTGCCAAAGGCGCCGTGCCACAGGCGCTGGAAGCGCATCAGGGCTTCCCCGTGAGCCGCCTCCCGAGCTCCTTGGGAGAATGGGTTGATTTCTAGAAACCCAGAAGTAAGAGGTGTGCTGTGCCCTCTCTTTACAGCGGAGAGACTGAGGTTAGGGTACATCCTTCTGAGATCCTGGGAAGGCAGTAAGGAGGGGAATCGAGGGTTTGGGCCAAGAGAATCTGACTTGGAAACCCTCGCCCTCCACGTGGGCCGGGTCTGCCTCGCCTCCCCGGGCAGGGAAGCAGCAGCAGGCCTGTCCTGGAGAGTCACGGGTCCTGGCCCCACCATAATCTTTATCTTTCCTTCTTCCTCAGAAGCTGCCAAGAACCCCATCCTCCACGTGAAAGCCGACGTGCACTCGTCCTTGGACAGTTACGCTGACAGCCTGGCCAAAGCCATAGAGGCGGAAGCCAAAATCAACTTGTTTGGGGAGGAGGCATTGCCCGGGGTCTTGATGGTGGCTCGAACCGTCCCGGGGGCCGGCTTTGGGGGCCGCCAAGGCAGCCGAACCCTCGGGGGTCAGAGGCTCCAGCTGCAGAGCATCGAGGAAGGGAACATTCTCCCTGTAGAACAGAAATGAGGGCCCCAGGGTGGCCTGTCCCCAAGAAGGATGCCCATGGCCAACAGAGCTGGGGCCCTGGGAGCATGGGGCAGGAACCGCACCTGGTGTGCCGCCCCCAGGAAAAACATCGAGAACTGTGTCCATGGTCAGAGACATCCGTGTTTGCGTGAGTCCACCTGTAGGCTTCTCCTAGGTCCCCGTGATGGGACCTGAGGCATCAAAAGCACAAAGAAAAGCCGTTGGAGGTGTGGCCGTGACTTCCTGGGAGGTGGGGCACAGGGGGGACTAGAGGCTGCCTGGGAAGGAACCACCGGGTAGGTCATGTTCTTTTGTTCACAGTCTGCCACGTGGGTTCCCTAGAGAGCCCCTTATGCCCCCCCCCACTGGTGATGACCTTGCCTCGGTGGAGCCACCTGCTGGTGCTCTTGGGGGCAGTCATAGGCCGCCTCCCTACTCACTGATTCTTTGCTGTTTCAAAAGGAGGGAGAAACCACTATAAGAGACAGGAGGAAGGAGTGGGTACCACATGCTTCATTTCCAGGATTAAAAAAACCGGTGCATTTGGTTAGGACACACCATGGACTTACCAAGCCTGGACGGCCGTGGTGCCAAATGGTCGGGAGGTAGAGACACTGTTGTCGCTGGAGGAGCTCCCTTCAGTAGGAAAACCTCCCGTGGACTCCGTGTGTGATGTTTGACCAAGATGAGGCGGAATGGAAACCCTGACGGGCCTGCGTCCGCACCTGCACTCCCCACCCAGCTCCGCCTCTTACTCAGTCTCTGCGACTTCTGTCACCTCTCTAGGCCTTTGGGAAAGTGGGATGAGGGATTGGGCACCAGGCTGAATGGTCTCCAAGATCGTTTCCAGCTGTGATCTCTGATGTTCTCTGTAACGCAGAGACAGGAAAAGAAAAGGGACCCATGGACCCGTGTTGGCACAGCTCTGAGGTTTCAAAGGCGCGGATGGACTTCAGGCCCAGGGGTGCGGCCCTGGGCTGGTCCACTCAGAATGGGGCCGGGGAGGCCGGACATGGAGGAAGGGACCCTCCGAGGTGGAGTGGATTCGTGTGGGGCTTGGAGTAGTGGGCATGGTGACTTGGGAAGCCATTGAATCATCTGTGTCTGCCCAGTAGCCTGGGGCACTAAATATGCCAAGGGCAGGACTTGCCCCGCCCTAGAGTCCCACGTGGTCCTTGGAGGGGCCAGTTGAGATCAGCTGTGGCTGCCGAGGGGCAGCCACTCCCAGAAAGCTCACTGGCTTTGTGGTGTTTCCTTTGGGGTCTAGCTAGCTCCCGGGGAGGCAGTGACTTTTTCACTGTGTAGACACCAGTGGTTGGCTGGTCCTCGGTCTGCAGTTTGCAAAGTCCTTTGCTGAGACTTGAGGGCTTGCTTCCTGGTGCTCAGGCTCATTGACGATGACTCCTGGCCAGCCGGGTGCCAGGTACTGGGTAGGTTCTGGGTGGGAGGGGAAGGAGCAGAGGGCATTTCAAGAGCAGAGGTGGCTTCACCTTCGGGTCCTGCTAAGGAGATGTGGAGGTCAGACTGCCCTCCTTCCGGTGCCACTCCTCAGTCAGAGAGCGCTTTACATTTTCTTTCTGTACATAGTCCTAGCTCTTGTCCAGTTTGTAAAGGGACCATATTCCTGACCAGCTCCCATGCGCAGAGGTAGAGCAGGGCGGAGACCTTCACCTCTAGGTTGGAATAACGGGGGCAGCTGGCCAGCGAGGCCTGTTTGAGGGGTTGGAGTGTGCGTCCCCTGGACTGCACCGGGCCCGGCTCTGGGGGGAGTCCTAAGACCCCAAGCCCTCACTGGCTGGTTGAAGACTAGCTGGGATTTATAAGGATTAAATCTAAGCTTATCTAGAAACACCGCACTTCACAAAAGTACAGTTTCCTTTTTTGCTGAGGACCATTCATTTACTCACCCACCAGACCCTGCACGGCCCCTGGGCCTGTGAGCAGGAGCATGACGTGGTTTCACTCTCCTTTAGGGAGAGACCTGGGGGATACTGCTGCTGATCAGTATCAGAGTCCAGTCATGATGACAGAGAAAACGGCTCCGGGGGAGGTGACTATTTGCACCTAGTGGGGTTGGGGTGGTACTGCAGAGGTGGCGGACTGAGCCAAGCCTTGGAGGACGCTTGGCAGCCAGGACCGCATTTGGCGAATTCAAATTTGCTGGTTCAGCCTGGGGGTGGGGGGGAGTCCCAGACATTCTGCAGCTCCTGAGAGGCATTTTTGAAGATACCTGCCCTTAGTGGCAGGTTGAAACCCAGGCCCACAGCTTTATACACGGGACAGCGGCAGGTGGGACTTTTGGCCACTTGTCCATTTGAAAACCTCTGGGGTCTCCTGGTTTTGACAGGACTAGGTTTAAGCCTGTTGCCCATCTCTGCTGCTTTCGTTGCGATCGCTGAGCCCCAGGTTCCAGGGCTGGGGGCTGTTAGGACCCAGAGGCACTGGGATCCCCACCCACAGCACAGCGCTCTGGCCTGGGAAGGCTGGAGTTCGGCGCCTTAGAGGCCAGGCGGCAGCCTGCGAAGCGCTGAGGGTGCACCTGAAGGCTGCTGCCTCTGAACTTGTCTCCACCGCGGTCTTCAGCCTTGAAAGGACCACCCAGCGTGCTTACCCCTGCGACACCAGTTGGGGTGGCAGCTTCTGTCCCTGCCCAGCTATGAGGTCTTCAGCGACTGCCATGAGGTGGGGCTGAGGACCGAGACCAGGGCCACCTGGTGCTAATGCTCTTTCTCCTCCAACGAGATGCTGTGTCTCTGTCTACACCTGAGCGGCCAGTGAGACTCAGTGTTTGCAGGCGGCCAGGGAAGTGTGTGGGGGTGGGGGGCAGGAAGTGGCAGAAACGTGCTCCATACAGTGAGACCTTAGCCTGTTTGGCTTTAACTGCAAGAGCGTGTTCCCATCGGAGATACGTGCATGTGAGAGATGTGTCTGTGGATGGAGCCCGGGATACTCTCCCGTGTTCAGCCCTGGGCCCCGCTGTCCCGTCCAGAAGGACTTGGGAGGGGGGTGGCGTGGAGGGTGAGGCAGGGAATCCGCAGGTACTGAGTGCCCGCCGTGTGCCTGGGGTGGACGTTCTGTGCCTGCTGTGTGGCTTTAGTTGGGCATTTCCGAGGGCTCTGTCACGGCTGAGCGCGTGCTGCAGGGGAGCAGCGTGGACTTTGCTGGGCTGAGTTATGGGTTCACATGCATGCGGCTGCTAAGTAGCGGGGTGTTCTTGGGCCAGGTCACCTTTCTGCATCGGTTTTCTCATCTATGAGGTTTTGTAACCTGTTCTGTGTGGGGATGTGGAATGCTGGGCCCCCCACGGGAGGTTATGTGGATTAAAGCACCTGGCACAGCACACGGGACACTGGCTCCTAGCTACTGTGGTCTCTTGTCCATAACTAGGTGGCTGTCCTATGCTTGTCTCACAGGGACCTCTAAGGTAACTGCTACCCTAGGTCAGAGGTGTTGAGGCCACTGCCGTGGGAAGTGGTGTTTGCTGAGCAGCACTGAAGGATCTGGGATCGAAGGGATGTGGTGAGGAGGGGAAAGGCTGTCTGGTGTCAGGAGCTGCAGAGTCTGAAGGAGCAAACAGGTGTCTGTCAAAGATGATGGTCCCAGGCCTGGGGCAGACCCCATGGCACAGCACCAGCTCGGCCTCAACCCAGAATAGATGCACCCCGGTAGATGTGGCCTGGCCCTGCACCCCGCCCAGTCCTGCAGGGACAGTGACTGTGTGGTAGTGGCTCTTGGGTTCAGACTCAGATCCTCCACCCTGAGGAAGAGGCAGTGCGGGGGTTCTGCTATCCCCAGTGCATGCAGAACCCCAAGGTGAATTGTGGAGGGGGCAGGAGGAAAATAACTGTTTCCACCAGAAGCAAAGGAAAATGGCTGCGATTTGGATACTGACCACAAGAGGGGGCAGAGCCAGACACTCGTCCTGGGTTGGGGACGGACACAGAATCCAGGGGGGCCTAGGAAGCGAAGGAATTGTCTCAAAGTGCGTGAGGCCAGCGTCTGGGCCCAATGCCAGNCACAAGAGGGGGCAGAGCCAGACACTCGTCCTGGGTTGGGGACGGACACAGAATCCAGGGGGGCCTAGGAAGCGAAGGAATTGTCTCAAAGTGCGTGAGGCCAGCGTCTGGGCCCAATGTGTTGGCCATGTGACCGAGAAGGGAGCCAGCTTTGTGGCTGGAGGACGAGGGACAGAGCTTCATTAGAAGACAGGCCAGCCCGGCTTTGCTGTCTAGGAAGAGCGGTTGTAAACTGAGGCGCTTAGGAGACTGGAACAGCCGCTTGCCAGGCCTAGAAAACCACAGCCCCGAGGCCTGGTTGGATTCCCTGCAGAGTCCAAAGCACAGGCTCGTCTGTGGGTCAGCGAGGGCACCATCGTGCTCAGCACTGTTTTTAGGACGTAATACAGAGCCGCTCAGTTCCCCAGAAGGCATGTTCCTGAGCAGTTGTAAGAGCTTGTGAATTACAGGCCACTTTTCCTTTTGACACCACCATTTTGAAATGTCATCAATCACAGCCCCTCCAGGGGCAAGGACAGTCCGGAGGGGGGGGGTGCAGGGGACGCCAGGGAGGGCGGAGCTGTGGGCCCGCCCCGTCTCCAGGATGTGCGGGCGCGGTGGGAGGGCCTGTGCCGTTCCCACACGGACCCCTGGACTAGGGAGCAGTTAAAACCAACCCAAACAAAAGGCGAGCTGGTCCTGGAATACATTTCACTTGAAGTTTTCGATTTTTTTAAAGACAAGAAAAATGTTTAGAATTATTATAAATCAGTATTTATAAATAAGTAAAAGTATTTAGAATAGTTTTGTTTACTGATTAAATATCTTTTTGGTATATGTACAGCTGTGGAAACTGCATTTGTACTTAAGACTTGTGGACTTTTGGGTGTCCTGCCCCTTACCCGTATCCCCACTTCCCACAGCCCCTTTCTGTTTTCCCCTCCTTCCCATGGGCTAAAAAGAGGAAGGAGACTGAGCAGGAAGGGTCGACGGTTGCGGAATCGGGGGGTGAGGTGTCCGTACCACAGTCACCTGGGCACATCCTCCATGCATTTTCAAAATTCCCCCAAGACGGTGAGATTCATGGAATATTGTCAAATACAGAACAAATGCTCCTAATCCAAAGATCTTACAGGTTTCATGAACAGCAGTGCTCTCCATGTGTCCATCCCATAACCAAGGTCAAGGGTGTGTGGTGATCATCAGACTCAAAACCACGCCAGGGCATAAAACTCAGCACCTCCACTTAAGTCCTCACCTGCCACCACTGAAGGCAGTTCCTTCTGCTGAGTGTGTGGCACTCGGGTCCAGGCATCTAACCTCTGGGGTTCCCCCCCCAGCATATGCTGAGTCATGGCCAGGACCTGTTCACCCTGCTCCTGTGTAACGTACCACCAAACTGCAAAACTGCTGAAAGTAGGTGACCTAATTCCTTTGACAAATACCATTTAAAAAAAAAGCTTTAGAGCAGTTTTGGGTTCCTGGCAAAACTGAGCAGAAAGGTCAGATCCCATATGCCTCTCCCCCCTCCTCCCTGTCCCGTCCTGCACCAGAGGGCACACATACCATTTTGATTTTTGGCTGCTTTTCCTGCGAGTTACTCCTGACCTCACAGAGTCCTCTAGTAGAAGCCTCTGTCCTGTCGGCTTTCCAACACCTCCCTAAGCATCCCTGTAACTGCTCCATTTCAGTGAAAGCAATGATGTCCCAGTATGTGCTGAGAGCAGCATTTTCGTCACTGTGAAGCCCCTCACCCTCCATGGTGGTGTGTCCCCTTGCTTAGCCCCTGGGACACAGGCGCTGCAAATCTGATCACCTCCACTTCACAGGAGACAGAGCTGGAGCCCAACAAGTCGGGTAACTCCAGCAAGTCACATAACTAATCAGGAGCCAGAAACAGACCCTTGCACTTTCTGAAGTCATCTTTAGCTAAGACAGTTGCCCTGTTTGACTAAATCTCTAATTCCTTCCCTTTGCCACTTACCACAGTCTCTGATGTGCAGACATGTGTGCCCCATCCAGGGCAGGAGCCAGGTGCCGAGTCCAACTGAAGTTACTGAGCCAACTGAAGGGTGACTTACCCTGCTCCACAAAGCCAACCTGGCACCCAGCAGCAGGGGCCCCTGGATGTGCAGCCACCTCGGGAGGAGCAACCCTGGTCTCCACACCAGAGAGGGATGCTCTGCGTGGCCACATGTATGAGCCTTCACGGCCCAGCCAGAGAGAAAAGGAGGCCAATTTAAGAGCGGGCAGGGAAGGTGACAGAGTTAGGTCTGTAGGAGCAGATTCAGGTCATAACCTGTAAGATACAGGCCGGGGTGCAGATGGCTGGAGTGGAGGTAAACACTAGAGCTAAGGGAGGCCAGGAAGGTCATGGCTTCCAGTTGAAATCTAGTTGCAGCCAGGAAGACTGGAAGCCAGGGCTCCCAGAACTAGCCTGTGCTCCTGCAAACACGTGAGCCCCAGGACACTGATCTCTGCGGGAAGCCTGACTCCTGCCCGTGGGTAACAAGGTCCTACTAATCATTGATATTTGGCGGTGAAGATGAAGTACTTTGGAATGAGACATGAAAAAGGCTCTTCAATGTGATTCTATCACACATAAGTCAAAACAGAAAAGATGATTAAAACCAGAGAATAGAGGAACAGTCTTGTTATAGGAAAGACTGGAAAACATGGGCGAGGCTAACAAGGTATTAAATACAACGTCAAGTTCAGGAGATCTTACAACAACCAGCTTCTTTAATTAGAAAGCAACAAACATGCAAATGGCAAGTGTAGAAATTTATTTGAACCAACATTGTTGCTAACATGAGACTGCTCTTCAACGCTGATCCGAGCTCCCCGTCTGGGGCT